ACCCAATTAATATTTTCCTTTTCTTTTTTTTCTTTAGAGGTAGGTTCTCATTATATTGCCCAGGCTGGTCTCAAACTTCTGGCCTCAAGTAAAATTCTCCTGCTTCAGTCTCCCAAATAGCTGGGATTACAGGCATGAGCCATGGCTCAAGTGTTAACACATTCATTAAGACATACTCTGGAAGAATGACTTTAGGAGTCAGGGAAAACTTAACACGAGTTAACGTTTGCACCCAAGCCTGAGCCATTAACATACCATATAATTAAGGTTTAGTTTTAAAAACTAGGGTCTGCCAGTGCTGTTAGATGAATTTTTATAGTCTATGTTTTCCTGCAGATGGTCATACTTTTTTTTTTTTTTTTTTTTTTTTGAGACAGAGTCTCACTCTAACACCAGGAGCCAGCCTGGAGTGCAGTGGTGCGGTGCGACCTTGGCTCACTGCAACCTCCGCCTCCCGGGTTCAAGCAATTCTCCTGCCTCAGCCTCTCAAGTAGCTGGGACTACAGGCGCGCGCTACCGCACCCAGCTAATTTTTTTGTATTTTTAGTGGAGATGGGGTTTCACCATGTTGGCCAGGATGGTCTTGATCTGTTGACCTCATGATCCGCCCACCTCGGCCTCCCAAATTGCTGGGATTACAGGCGTGAGCCACCGCGCCCGGCCCAGGTGGTCATACTTTTTAAATGACACTATTTGTTATAAAGACAATTTCTCTTTTACAGGTTAAGTCATGATTGAACATATGTTCAACAAGCAAGCATGTTTAGATGATCTGAGTTTATAAAACGCCATTTTCCTTACCAAATCAATTTTTTTTTTTTTTGAGACAGGGTCTCACTCTGTCGCTCAGGCTGCGGTGGAATGGTGTGATCTCAGCTCACCGTAACCTCTGCCTTGTGGGTTCAAGTGATCCTGCCACCTCAGCCTCCTGAGTAGCTGGGACCACAGGCACACACTGCCCCACCTGGCTAATTTTTGGTAGAGATGGGATTTCATCATATTGCTCAGGCTGGTCTCAAACTCCTGAACTCAAATGATCCACCCGCCTCAGCCTCTCAAAGTGTTGGGATTACAGGCATAGGCCACCATGCCTGACCCACAAAACACTTTCTATATATATTTTGTCACTTACTCTGTATATAATAATGTGAGATCATAGGCTTCTATGATCCCAATTTAAAGAAAAACCAGCCCAAGATATCACAAGACTCAAGGCTGGAATTAAGATTTTCTATTTCTCTATGTTTTTTTCCTACAAAGAAATCAGAACCATCAAAGCTAATTTGAATAAAAAAATAAATTCACATTTTGAGTAATTATATGTACCAAATACAATGTGCGATGGTTTATTTTTATCATTTAATCCTCACAACCATCCCTCTCCAGTGTGTTACGGTCTTCATTTGGCAGTGACGCTGTTCTAGCACAGAGATTAGGTAACTTGTTTAAAGTCACAATTAGAAAGTGTTAGGGGCCAGGCACAGCGACTCACACATGTAATCCTAGCACTTTGGGAGGCTGAGGCAAAAGGATTGCTTGAGCCCAGGAGTTTGAGACCAGCCTAGGCAACAGAGTGGGACCTCATCTCTACAAAAAATAAGCACTTTGGGAGGCTGAGGTAGGAGGACTGCTAGAGGACAGGAGTTTAAGACTGGCCTGGGCAACATAATAGAAAACTCTGCCTCCAGAAAAAAAAAAAAAAAGTTTCTCTGTAATCCAAACAACATTGCTTTTTTTGAGAGGGAGTCTCGTTCTGTTGCCCAGGCTGGTGTCCAGTGGCTTGATCTTGGCTCACTGCAACCTCTACCTCCTGAGTTCAAGCAATTCTTCGGCCTCAGCCTCCCGAGTAGCTAGAATTATAGGTACTCGCCACCAGGCCCAGCTAATTTTCGTATTTTTAGTAGAGATAGGGTTTCACCATGTTGGCCAGGCTGGTCTTGAACTCCTGGCCTCAGATGATCCACCCACCTCAGCCCCCCAAAGTGTTGGGATTACAGGTGTGAGCCACAGTGCCCAGCCGCTGAACACTTCTAACGATTTCACTTAATAGAAGATACTTAAATCAAATTTTTTTTTTTTTGAGGCGGAGTTTCGCTCGTTACCCAGGCTGGAGTGCAATGGCGCGATCTCGGCTCACCGCAACCTCCGTCTCCTGGGTTCAGGCAATTCTCCTGCCTCAGCCTCCTGAGTAGCTGGGATTACAGGCACGCGCCACCATGCCCAGTTAATTTTTTTATTTTTAGTAGAGACGGGGTTTCACCGTGTTGACCAGGATGGTCTCAATCTCTTGACCTTGTAATCCACCCACCTTGGCCTCCCAAAGTGCTGGGATTACAGGCTTGAGCCACCGCACCCAGCTCATCAAATTCTTTCTGGCACAAAATTTGAAAACAAATCCTAGACTTGACGCACAGTACAGCTCAAAGTCCCAAGGTTTCCCATATTAAATTTGATAAACGTCTAGCCTTCTGCCTAAATTTTCTTTCTAGATATTACTTTGAAAAAGGACTTACAAAGCTATTCATTTACTCTCAAGCTCAAGGCTTTACAGATATGGCTAACTAAATCACATGTCAAAGAAATAAACAAACAACTGAGAACTCTAAAGCCTCAGGGAAGAATTCCAAGGTTGCTATTTGGTTGAACCTGCCTGACTTTTCAAAATGCAGTTTTCTGATAAAGTATGAAAAATTCAAATACTCCCCAAAACTGGAGTATGATAGAAATAGTCTGATTTTATTTTATTTATTTATTTTTTTGAGACAGAATCTCGCCCTGTCGCCCAGGCTGGAAGTACAAAGGTGCGATCTTGGCTCACTGCAACTTCCATCTCCCAGGTTCAAGCAATTCTCCTACCTTGGCCTCCTGAGCAGCTGGGATAACAGGTGCTCGCCACCACGCCCAGCTAATTTTTTTTTGTATCTTTAGTAGAGACAGGGTTTCACCTTGTTGGCCAAGCTGGTTTCCAACTCCTGACCTGGTGATCTACCCGCCTCAGCCTCCCAAAGTGTTGGGATTATAGGCGTGAGCCACTGCACCAGGCTGAAATGGTCTGATCTCATACAGCAATTCCATATTCCATTTTAGAGACTGTATTTCTAAATTTAAAGGAACATGAAAAGCTAGCATCAGAAGGAAAAAAAAGAAATGTATGAAGCTGAATACAGAATAAAAGCATTTAAGAAAGGAACAGGTCTGAATCTTTTTTGTCATAACTTGATATACTGACACTTTTGAAATAAACAGTAGTAAAATTAATCAGGCATGTAAATGTTTAAACAGATTTTTGTTTTGCCAGCTCATCAATTCACAAATTAGTATACATTTCCTAAGAATCTAGTAGACTCCTCCAGATACTGCTGGGATAACTGACAGATGAAAAATACAGGGATTACCTAAATTAGTCTGTAAACTCCATGAAGACAGAACCCATAACCATTTTATTCCCTGCTGTTATCCACAGTGGGAAACGTATAATCTGATATGTAACACTGAGAAGGGATAGAACATATTTTAATAATCTGCTATATTAAGTTGTAAAAGAGCATCAAAAAATCATAGCTATTTTAATATTAAATATCAGGGAAATGTGTGTCCCCATAAGATATACTTATTTTATTTTTGAGATGGAGTCTTGCTCTTTAACCCAGGCTTGAGTGCGGTGGTATAATCTAAGTTCTCTGCAATCTCAGACTCTCAGGTTCATGCAATTCCCCTGCCTCAGCCCCCTGTGTGAGATTACAGATGCACGCCACCATACTTGGCTAGTTTTTTAATTTTTAGTAAAGAAGGGGTTTCGCCATTTTGGCCAGGCTGGTCTTGAACTCCTGACTTCAAGTGATCCACTAATCTCAGCCTCCCAAAGTGCTGGAATTATAGGCGTGGGCCACAGTGCCTGGGCTCCATAAGATCTAAATGTAGTTATCTAAAATTCATATTTAATGTTTCAGGTTCTCTTAAAAAAAAAAAAATCAGGTCTAATGCTTACTTTCCATAATGATCACATAACTGATCGAGAAATAATGAGCTTTGCTAACAAAGTTAGAAGAAAAAACAAAAACATCATTTCAGAAAGAAGAAAAAAGATATAAACAGATGGGTTCCATGCAGACCAGCCTCTAGGGGAGTAGAGCTGGCTAGCTCTGTGGCTTTTGTCCTCCAAGCCAATTTTGAGAGGGGAAAAAACACTGGAAAAGAAAACATTAAAAATAACATCATGGCATTAGTTACCATGAAGCCAGAAAGTCAGTACTTTTCTGCAAACCTAACACGTACACGGATACATATGGCACATAAATCTGAAATGTATTATGTACAGACACTTTTGGAGGTACTATCTTATTTCTTAACAATCCCTAATATGACAAGCAGGAAAATCCATGTAATGAGAGACAATTTTCAACATCTGTACATAATCTCCCTACTCAACCTCTCCTGAAACAACTGCACATATCAGCAGAGCTAACATTTAAAAATAATACTTTGTTCACTGTTCCTATCATAATCTCCTCCTCCCTCAGATTCTAAAATAACATAGTGCAGTTTTTTGTTTTTGAGACAGTCTTGCTCTGTTGTCCAGGCTGGAGCACAGTGGTAAAATTTTGGCTCACCGCAACCTCCACCTCCCAGGTTCAAGGGATTCTCATGCCTCAGCCTCCTAAGTAGCTGTGACTACAGGCATGCACCACCACGCCCAGCTAATTTTTACATTTTTCACCGAGATGGGGTTTCGCCATATTGGCCAGACTGGTCTCCAACTCCTGACCTCAAGTGATCCACCCACCTTGGCCTCCCAGTGTTGGGATTATAGGTGTGGGCTACCACACCTGGCCACATAATTACAATTTCTGAACGCTCTTTTCTCATATGCTTATGACTTAATCCCACTTGCAAAATTTCTTTGTAAACTAATCTGCATTAAAACAAAGTCCTTCTATGAATGTATATCCCTGAAGTGCCCCCGAAACAGTTGTCAGCAAGCAACATACAATAAAACTCACCCTCCTTACTTTATGTTTGGTTCTCTCTCTTCACATGTTGTTCGTGGTTATAGAAGTTCTTCCTCCACCCATTTTCACTCAGTTTATGTCTCTATGCCTGCTCCCCAGAGGAAGATGATAAAAGCTACTCCTGCTTCCCAAAGTGTGGGACAACTGGCTCTGCTCTGTCCCCTTTTCCCGGCCCCTACCAGTGTTCATGGTTCGTCAGTCTTTCTGCTCACAGAGAGAGGAGCTTTGAGAAATAAATCTAGTGACTTACCCCAGCAGCAAATCCTAGGTGGATACTTGTGAAAAGGGTAATTGGGAGATATTTTAAAAGATATGTTTCTCCATGTGCCACAACAAACCAACGCCTTAAGCTGGGTTCGTGTTCACTGATCAGAGAAAATAATGTCCACTTTAGTGTTTCTTCACAGTATTGCTGAGAAGGAGTAGAAGATTTCTAAGACTTTACTGGTAATTTCCCTCTGGAGAGGAAAAGGGGTCTGATTGAGAAGGGAAAAAAGAAGGGGATAATTTCTTGTCACTCTCCCTGCTCCTCCCTAGATGCTACTACTGACAAGAGCATATTAAATAGGGACTCTAAAGGAAACATGGGCAAAAGAAGAAGCTATCCACTAAAAGCTAAAATAAGTAGAATTTCAGCTGGTAGCCAATGGGTTAAAGGTAAAATTCTCAGCTCCTTACCCCCTGGCAGGGGGCAAGGCAGGAAGAAAAAAATGGCTCTTGACTGAGTGGAGGATTGTATGTGACTGAATTTGCTGTTCCCCTTCTTGGTTCTGTTCTCAGAATCACAGACTGCCCCCCTCCCTGATAAGCGGACTCCAGCACCTGGTAGGGGTAAGAGAAGACAAGAGAGAAAAAAAGGGAGACAGAGAAAGATAAAAAACATCAACAGCCATGTTGCCAAACTAACAACTAAATAAATGACATGAAAGAAGGAAATTAACAGCACTAACCAAGATAGAAAGGAATAAACATAAGATTGATAACCTCAAGACAAAATAGGCCTCATCCCCTTTCACACACTAACCAAATAAAAGAGTAACCATTAGAAAAGAAATTTATGATTATTTTTAAAGTTAGAGGTTTACATACTAAAATTTAGGAATTAAATGTTAAATCTGCACCACTGGAATTTCAGCATAAAAGTATGCTGATAATTGTTTTTAAGAAATCATTTTATTATTATTATTTATGTTTGAGACTGAGTTTCGCTCTTGTTGCCCAGGCTGGAGTGCAATGGTACAAACTCGGCTCACCACAACCTCCGCCTCCCGGGTTCAAGCGATTCTCCTGCCTCAACCTCCCAAGTAGCTGGGATTATAGGCATGCGCCACCACGCCCGGCTAATTTTTACATTTTTTTAGTAGAGACGGCGTTTCTCCATGTTGGTCAGGCTGATCTCGAACTCCCGACCTCAGGTGATCACCTGCCTCGGCCTCCCAAAGTGCTGGGATTACAGGCGTGAGCCACCACGCCCGGCAAGAAGAAATTATTTTTAAAACTAGAAGAAATGACCTTTAAGCTACCCAACATTGTGAAAGGAAAAAAAAAAAATGAGATTTAAAAACATTTAAATTTCAACGGTTATAGTTAATAATCAGCAACACTCATAAACATAATGAACGTATCAAGCCCACAAAAAAAGAAAAATCTTCACAGTAGGCTACCCATATACTTTCATTACCGATTTAGAGTTCAACTCAACTCCACAAAGATGTGGTAACAATATATGTAACCAATGGGAAAATGACAGCATATTTAAAGAATTTACACAGCAGTTGCATTGAGCACGGCTAGTGTAATAACCCCACTCACAGAATTACCGCCCCATCTCTATTCGCAAACACGCAAGGGATAAAAGAGTGGAATTGCAAATGTGTGATCAGAGACATGGCTATATTCATAAGATTGAAGTTGTTATCGTCCTGGTGTGTGTGTGGGGGGGTGAGCGGAGAGGAGTGTGATATTTACATCATGCTCAAATTTTTAAAAAGTCAAAACTAGGCAAGCAATTACGTGGTCACCCCCTTCTCATTCAGAGGGCTGTCAAAAGAAGAGGTGGAATGACTGTCACACTCCCTACAATTTACACGTAAGGAGGAAAACAGTAGCTGCGGGACCGCACCACAGGATCCGTGAGAAGGGATGAAAGGCGGAGGGGGCCGCCGTACTGCGGGGACAGGTCAGCAGCCGGCGTTCCGGGGTTACCACACCCCCTCGCCGGCGGGGAAACCGGGCTCCTTCCACGGCCGAGGTCGCCGCCCCCTCCACACGGCTCGCCCGGTCTCACGCACACGCCACGGGCCGGCGCCTCCCGGCACACGCGCGAAGGCCGGGCCCCGCCTCGCTCCCCAAACACTCCGAGGCGCGGCGACCGCCGGCCGCCACCAGCCCCGGGCCCCGGGCGCGCTCGGCCCGGTCCCCTCCCCGGCCAGGTCCCCTCCCGGCCCAGCCCCCGCTACTCGGGAGATCCGTTCCGCCGAACTCGCCCACCCGGGAGGGCGCGCCCCCGCCCCCGCCCCACTGCTCCACACGCGGGGGAGCAGCCACCCTACCGCTCACCTGGCTCGAGGGGGCTCCTCCCTCGCTCTCCGCCGGCGGAGCCGGGCTGGGGCCTCCGGGGAAGCGCGGGCCGCCGGACGGCTGGAAGTGGGGGAAGGAGAGGAGGGGGAGGGGGTCGGGATTCCGGGAGCCGCCTCCTTTCTCCGCCGCCGCCCGCGGCTCCTGCAGCCAGGCCGCGCGTGCTCGCACACTCGCCGGCTTCCTCACAGCCTGGCGCCGGCGGCCTCTCCCTCACCCCACTCCCGCCCACTCTCACTCCCACACTCACACCCGGCCGCTCCTCGTTCCCTCACTCGCCTGTCGCGCGCGCGCGACCCCGCTCACACACAGCGCGCGCGACGCCGGCGGAGACCGCCCCGCTCCCCGAGACCGAGCGCCGCCCGCCCGCTCGCCGAGGACCGGCGCGCGCCCCGGCCCCGCCCTCCTGGCGCGGCGGCGCGGCGGGCGGGGGGCGGGGGGCGGCGGGCTGGCGGGCGGGGGGCGGCGGCCGGAGGAGCGGGGGGGCGGGCCAGCGCGCCGAGCACGGCCGAGCGGATCTGACACCTGCGTCGGGACGCGCCCTCCCGGCGCCGCGCCCGCACCCGAGCCATCGCGGGCCTGAGAACAGACGCGATGCGGCGCGCGCGGAGGGCGCTCCGAGGACGCGCCTCCCCACCCGCCCCCAAACCGTCTACATTGAGAGAGGGAAACGGATGGGGGGGCGAGGTTTGTTCCCGACTCGAAACCGCGAGATTAGTCCCTTCCGTTGTACGCCCTCCCCGCCCTCACGCTCCTGCTCAGACCCCGTCCGTCTGCGCCCGGAGCGCCGACGCGAGCCCCCGCGCCTCCCGCCCAGCCCTGCCGCCGCCCGCCGCCCGGAGTCCCCGCTGACGGTGGTCCCTCCCTCCGGTAGGCAAAGAGATGGAGGCAAAGATCATGCATACCCAGAAGGTCTTTATCCGCGAGACGGGTAAAGACAATACCTCTGTCTATGAGACGCCGACTTAAAACCACATGATAGATGCCCGGGCTGAAGCGGGTTTGGAGACACCGGCGGGGCGGGTAGCGCCAGCTCTGTCCCCTGGAAACCAGTGGAAACCTTGGACGACTCAGTTGCCACGCTTCCTCTGAGCCTTTGTTGTGAAAAGATAAAAGAGTGCAGTCTGGAGTCGTTGTGAGAATGAAATGAGATATTTTAAGAGCATTTTGTAAATTCTAAAACTGTGTATAAAAATATAGCCTAAATGAGGCTGAGAATATGAATGTTCAACTATGCTATTACTTTTTCTTAAGGGGGAAAAAAAACCAAGGGCGGGAGACGACCTCCCAGGTTTCCATGGAAGATTCACTTCCAAATAACTTCCGTCACCGGAGACCCCAGGTGTACCTACAGCAGTGTGCTCACCAGTTTGCCTTCTTGCTGGTCTCAGCCCTGTCTCCGTGATGTCAGCTAACAACTTTTGCGTGCTCCTCTCCCAGTCAATTGCCAATATAATTTCATCTTCTGCTGTTAAAAATTTCCTTCAGGGTCTCGAGAGTCCTTTAAGAGATGTAGTGTAACCTAGGGTGGTAACTTCTGGATCCAGACTGCCTAGATTGAATTCCTGGTTCCACTACCTATGTGATCCTCTGCAGTAATTTAGCCTCCCTGTATTTTAATCGGCTCAGATGTAAAAGTGAGGCTAAAAATCATTAACTACTTCATGGAGTTGTCCTAAGGAGTAAATGAGTTAATAAGTATATAATATTTAACACCTGACAAAGATCAAGTGCTGTTGTGTTTAGTGTTATTACAGCGTTACATCCGTCAGAGTAACCTAGGATAGGCGTCTACTTTTACAAAATTTAGAGGAACTAACGCCCTGTAAGATACATACACTATCTTAAGAACGAAGAGGATAGGGTCGACAGAACTAGAATGTTGCTACTTACTTCCAATCTGATGTTCGGACCCCTGGGACATAAAGTATATTCAACTCAAAGACCAAGAGAAGCATATTTTATGATCAAGGGAAACTTGATCACAGAGACACTGACACTGAAAATCTGGCAAAATAAACAGTGAAACTGACACAGGAAAAAAGTTGTACAAAGGATCAGTAATATTTATTCCTTCTCTTAAGGAATAAGAAGTCCCCCCACTCTTAAGGAATCCAATTCATGGTAACTGTGCATCCCCAGAAAAAGTGGCTTGTACTGGTGAAACTGTGGATAGGAAGTATGACTATTAACTCACTTAGCACTCGCCCTTAAAAGTTGTTATTCAGCGTATTGCTACTATATGCCATATACATTCTAAGATATTCTCATGTATATAACAATGTTGCTTTTGACTTAAGCTAATGGGGGTAAAACAAAGCTCAGGAGTGTATTTAAACAAAGCCAATAATGATATGGCTTATTTTATTCTGATATGGGTTATTTTAAACAGATTACCATTATCATGATATTGTTAAGATAATGTTTATGTGAATAATGACCAAATTCATACTTCATACTTTTTGTATGAAGTAATATAATAAGGGAGCAAAAATTATCTACACCATTTCCATATTGGAAACCCAAAGTTCAGAAAGGCTGTACACAGATTCAGTCATAATCTTTGAGCATTCATGGTTGGTATGGTTAGGCAGCTGTGGACTCAAATCTCTTTTGGGTAGCAACAACTTGCTGAAAAATATTTTAAGTAGTTCTTCTTGGCATAATCATGCACCCCTCATTTTTAACCAGTGAATTAGTATTATTCAGGAAGTTCTGGGGTCAACTGAATCCCCCGGGAAGACATGCTATAAGTAACCTAGCATGTCTGGAGTCAGATCAATCTGATTTGAAATCCTAGCTATATTTACTAGCAGCATGAGATTGTTGCTTAACTTCCATAAACCTCAGTTTTCTCATCAGCAAAATGAAGATCATTTCAGCACCACTTTATTAAGATGGAAGGATTAATGAGGTAACTCAAACATAATGTGTAACATAGTAAGTGGTCAGTGAATATTAGCTATTATTGTTTAAGACTAATTAATACCAAAACAGTCAAATAGCAATTCAGAGAAATTATACAATGTTTAGATGTGTGTGACAGTCATACAAATAGTTATACATATTTACTGCATATCCCTATGAGTGCGAGACCAATTCTATGGGTGAGTAATGTCTTCATGATGAAATTAGGGTTCATCCTTTGCCTGCACCAAAACACTTTCAGATTTTTGTTCTTATTCCTAGACACATGAGAATCAACAGGAGCCAGGTGCGGTGGCTCACGCCTGTAATCCCAGCACTTTGGGAGGCTGAGGCGGGTGGATCACCTGAGGTCAGGAGTTTGAGACCAGCCTGGCCAACATGGTGAAACCCCATCCCTATTAATAAGACAAAAATTAGTCGGGCTTGGTGGCAGGTTTCTGTAATCCCAGCTACTTGGGAGGCTGAGGCTGGAGAATTTCTTGAATCCAGGAGGTGGAGGTTGCAGTGAGCTGAGATCACGCCATTGCCTTCCAGCCTGGGCAACAAGAGCAAAACTCTGTCTCAAAAAAAAAAAAAAAAAAAAAAGATCTTTGAAGAGAATCAACAGGAGGGACTGGGTGCTGTGGCTCATATCTGTAATCTCAGCACTTTGGGAGGCTGAGGAATGTGGATCACTCAGATTAGGAGTTCAAGACCAGCCTGGCCAACATGGTGAAACTCTGTCTCTACTAAGAATACAAAAATTACCTAGGTGTGGTAGCAGGTGCCTGTAATCCCACCTACTGGAGAGGCTGAATCAGGAAAATTGCTTGAATCTGGGAGGTGGAGAGTGCAGTGAGCCGAGACCGGGCCACTGCACTCCAGCCTGGGCAACAAACAGTACTCAGTCTCAAAAAAATAAAAAAGAATCAGCAGGAGGCTGGGTGTGATGGCTCACACCTGTAGTGCCACCACTTTGGGAGGTTGAGGCAAGAGGATCCCTTAAGCACAGAAGTCCGAGACCAACCTGGGCAACATAGGGAGACCCTGTGTCTATTTTTGTTGTTTTTTGAGACAGAGCCTGACTCTGTCACCCTGGCTGGAGTGAAGTAGCGAGATCTTGGCTCACTGCAACTTCCACCTCCTGGGTTCAAGTGATTCTCCTGCCTTAGCCTCCTGAGTAGCTGGGATTACAGGTGCCCAGATAATTTTTGTACTTTTAGTAGAGACTTGGGGTTTCACCGTGTTGGCCAGGCTGGCCTCGAGCACCTGACCTCAGGTAATCTGCCCACCTGGGCCTCCCCCAAAGAGCTGAGATTACATGAATGAGCCACCGTGCCCAGCCCATCTTTATTTAAAAAAAAAATAAATAGAATCAAGAGGAGAGCTTCCAAAAACTGATTAAATCAGCATTGGCATCCAGGAACCAATATTTTTTCAGATCTCTCCAGAGGATTTTAATACACAGCCAGGGTAAAGACCCAAGTTTACACAACAGAGATGTTAGAATTAACTATACTGTTTGGTTGTGCTGAAATACACATATTATCTAGCCATTTCAGCTAGTCAGTGAGATTAGCCAATTAGAAAATGGCAACTAAACTTGCAGTACAGGCCGGGTATGGTGGCCTGTCATCTCAGTATTTTGAGAGGCTGAGGCGGGCAGATGACCTGAGGTTAGAATTTTGAGACCAGCCTGGTCCAACATGGTGAAACCCCCGTCTCTACAAAAAACACAAAAATTAGCTGGGCATGGTGGGCCCCTGTAATCCCAGGTACTGGGGAGGCTGAGGCAGGAGAATCACTTGAATCTGGGAGGCGGAGGTTGCAGTGAGCTGAGATTGTGCCACTGCACTCCAGCCTGGGAAACAGAATGAGAAACTCCATCTCAAAAAAAAGAAAATCGCAGTACAAAACATTTTAAAGTTTTTGGTGAGATAATAGTTAATATGAAGATACTGGGGTTAAGGCACGTAAAAGTGAGGGTTTAATGGAAACAAAATCTCCCCTAACAGAGTTACCTAGGTCCAGTCACCATGTCTCTTATTCTACCTGAGTACATAGCAATGTATCTGCATCAGCCAGAAAAACATAATTTACGAATGAAGTAACAATAAACTGTTTGTCTACTGCAGGTCAAGCAAAAATCCTTAAGTGCCCCATACACCTCATCTGTTGCAAATCATCTCCCCCTGGGTTTGAAGACAAGGAAGCCAGCTGGAATTTGATCAAAACTAAAGGCCTTGAAGTCGTAAAGAGAATTGTAAACAAGAATTTAATCTTTGAGATGGTTATCATCAGTACCTAAAATAGTGTTCTTTGTGGATTATCTAACGTTATTACTGCAAAATTCATGTGGCTGGAGAAAAGGTGGTTGGTGTCTAATGTCAGAAGCCTCACTAGCAAATAAGGAACAGTAGCGGCAGCTGCAGTAAATCTAGCTCTCCCCGCTGCTTCCTCTCCTGGAGCCAGCCGGCTAGAACCAGCCCAACAACAGGCCCAGCAGCAGTCTTCACAGTAGAATAGCTAAACACTGATCTAGCCTTTCTTCACCCACACCCCTCCTCCTCTTTCCTGCTCCATCTCAGCACATTAAACTGAGCTGTCTCTCTAACTATGCTAAGAAAATGCAGATGCCAGACACAAAGGGCGGAAAGACCATACATTGGCTGAATCACAGAAGAGAAAGAATGGGTGGAAAGAAAAGACAGTCTTGGCAAGAGACATGATGTAGGTTTCCCCCTCCTTCTTTAATTGTATCTGGTTAAGATTTTTTTTTCCCCTCTACTACATAGAAATTACTTGGGAGGCTCGTTTAAAATGCAGACTCCTTCATCTCTGCCTCTGACCTGAATCAGCCTGTATACCTGCATTTCTTGAGCAACTCAAAGCATCTAAAATCAGCCACATATCTGCATTTGGAATAAGCATACTAAAGGATCCTTAGACACATGAAAGTTTGAGCACAGTGTCTTAGAGACCAAAATAGCCATTTATAAAATGCTCTTTATTTAAAGCTTTCGACATGTATAAACTCATGTAGCCTCAGGTAACATTCTGAGAGTAAATATTGTTAGTCCTCTCTGATTGAAGAGAAAATGAGGCAGTGAAATCAAATCATTGGCGGCAATTTGCTGATCCTGATGTCCTGTCTTTGGGAGGATCTTAGAAGTATAACAACCCGGGAAGAATTGAAGAATCAAAAATGGAATAAGAAAATGTGGAAAAGCACATCAGATGTGTTCTCATCTAAAGAATAGAGGAAGTATCAAGTATTAAAGGAAAAACAACAACAACAAAAAACTTGATGCAGGGAAACAGGACTGAATTGGTAGATAATGCTTCCATGCAGTTCAACCACAGAAATGATGATATGCAAACCACATAAGGGCTATGTGCATCTGTCACACATCTATGTCACCAGCAGCACCTTGAATGATTAGTAAACATTTACAGATTAAATGAATGAATGAAGTCTGGAAGCATCCTAATGGCCTGACACCACTGTAATTGTCCTGATCTGCCTTGCTGTTTTTTGACATGAAAGAATTAGACTGGGGAGCCCTGTTCAGTAGTCTAAGTTCATGTGGTTATCCTAGGTTCAAAGAAACAGCAGTTTACTGCTATTCAACCCAAATTCTTAACCTGTCCTATTTCCTAACTTTTTTTTGTTTTTTGTTTGTCTTTTTGAGATAGTCTCACTCGGTTGCTCAGGCAAGAGTGCAGTGGCTCAATCTCTACTCCAACCTCTGCCTCCTGGGTTCAGACAATTCTGGTGCCTCTGCCTCTGGAGTAGCTGGGATGACCACCACACCCGGCAGATTTTTGTATTTTTAGTAGAGACAGGTCTTACCGTGTTGCCTAGGCTGGTCTTGAACTACTAGCCTCAAGTGATCTAGCCACCTTGGCCTCCCAAAGTGCTGGAATTACAGGTGCAGGCCATCACACGTAGCCCCTAATTTTGTTTTTAAATCATTGAGCTAATTTACTCATTATAAAAAAAAAAAAAAATAGGCCGGGCGCGGTGGCTCACGCCTGTAATCCCAGCACTTTGGGAGGCCGAGGCGGGTGGATCACGAGGTCAAGAGATGGAGACCATCCTCATCAACATGTGAAACCCCATCTCTACTAAAAATACAAAACATTAGCTGGGCATGGTGGTGCGTGCCGGTAATCCCAGCTACTCAGGAGGTTGAGGCAGAAGAATTGCCTGAACCCAGGAGGCGGAGGTTGCAGTGAGCCGAGATTTCGCCATTGCACTCCAGCCTGGGTAACAAGAGCAAAACTCTGTCTCAAAAAAAAAAAAAAAAAATCTTCATTGCTTTTCCTATTTAATCTTTCTTCCATCAACTCCTGAATCCCCCAACTCCCTCTTTCCTTGATTTCCTTTCTTTCATTCAATACCTTTCAGTTTGGGTTTTATCCTAATTGAAAACTACAAGGTAAGATGAGACTGTGAAGAAAAAGAAAGAAAAAATGGCCAGGTGCAGTGCCTCATGCCTGTAATTCCAGCACTTTGGGAAGCCAAAACCGGAGGATCACTTGAGGCCAGGAGTTTGAGACCAGCCTGGGCAATATAGTGAGAGCCTATCTCTACAAAAACTTTGTATTTATTTGTTTTTTGAGACAGAGTCTCAGTTTGTCTCCCAGGCTGGAGTGCAGTGGCACGATATTGGCTCACTGCAACCTCCACCTCCCAGGTTCAAGCTATTCTCCTGTCTCAGCACCCTGAGTAGCTGGGTTTACAGGCACCCACCACTACGCCTGGCTAATTTTTGTATTTTTAGTACAGACGAGGTTTCACCATGTTGGCCAGGCTGTCTTGAACTCCTGACTTCAGGTGATCCGCCCACCTCGGCCTCTCAAAGTGCTAGGATTACAGGTGTGAGTCACTGACCCGGCCAAATACTGTTTTAAAAAAAAACTTGGCCAACAGTGGTGGCGCATGCCTATCGTCCCAGCTGCTCAGAAGACTGAGGCAGGAGAATTGCTTGAGCCCAGGGGTTCTGGGCTGCAGTGAACTATGATCATGCTACTGCACTCATACAGGCTTTCATGTTTGTTACTGTTTCCCAGAACTTTTCTGAATATCTGGGGCAGACAACTTAGATACTTGCTTAATAAATAAATGGTAAATGTAGACTTAGGCATGAGGATCACATCATAGAAATACTTGAAATACATAGTTACACCACTGTCCCCAGTCTCATAATAAACCTATCATATCTTAGAACATGGAATGTTCTAACCCTACTGGGTTTGGAGTATCTTCTTTTTTTTTTTTTTTGAGACAGAGTCTAGCCCTATTGCCAAGCTGGAGTGGAGTGCAGTGGTGCGATCTTGGCTCACTGCAACCTCTACCTCCCAGGTTCAAGCAATTCTCCAACCTCAGCTTCTGAATAGCTGGGATCTGAGTAGCTGGGATTATAGGCAGGTGCCACCACACCAGGCTGATTTTGTATTTTTAATAGAGACAGGTTTTCTTCATGTTGGTCAGGCTGGTCTCAAACTCCCAACCTCAGGTGATCTACCCACCTCAGCCTCCCAAAGTACTGAGATTATAGGCATGAGCCACCGTGCCTGGCCTGGAGTATCTTCTTTTTACAGATGAGCAAACTCAGACATAGTCAGGTTAAGTAACTTGTCCAAAGTCACACAGCTAGCAAAATAGCAGAGCCAAGATCTGAATCCAAGTAGCAAAGTACATGCTCTTAACAGCTTTGTCCAACATTTTTTGTAAACCCTCCAAAGACAATAAAAAGGATTGTCTACAGTTTCCCTTCACTTCTTAGTAAAGTTTTTCTTAGATATCAATGCCTGCTGTTTGGGTTCATGCTTCAATAGCATTTAATAATGCACTAAATAATCGTACATATAATTTGCCACAAAGAACCTAAGAATCCATTAACTGAGCATCACCTCTAAAGATTCAACAAAAATTATTACTAACACATACGTGACTCTTCAAATATATATTGATTCTATTTTAATAAAGTATAAGTCCATTTAAGTCATAAATGGATTTTCTAAAGTCATAGAAATATTTCATCAATTATGCTTTTTCTTGAACTTCAGACCTGAAAAAATGACTGTATTATAGATAACTAAAATGTTTTGAGGTTTAAAAAAAGACCCACTGACATGCTGGGACAAAGAGGGTTTAGCAGAAAATCCTGAGTTTAGTGGAGAAAACATGGTTTATTGGCTAGTAGAGTGGCCAAAAGTAGGTCAGTATCCCTGGCAGTCACAGCTGGTGAGGAGTGATGTCACTAGAGAAATGGGGGTGGGGGAGGTGGAATTTAAGGTGGGGAAGTAGAGAGATCCTTTGAGGGGACAGAAGAGGGGGGATTTACAGAGGCAGGCTTTAAGTCAGTCTTTTGTAAGCTGATTGCAGAAACAGCTGAAGCCCCATTTCCTCCTCCCTATACCCAGCCTGCGTTCTCCCAGGCCTCATTCCCTACCTCAGAATCACCACCAGACCCCCTCTGCTGGAGACAAAGACACCAGAGAGAGAAATGGGGAGAAAGACAAACCTGAAAAGGAATGATTTCAATAAAGGAGAGAAGGGTGAGGAAAACGTCAAGGAGAGTTTAATCAAATCCAGGGAAACATGATAGAGAGGAAAAAATAACAAAGGAGAGAGGCAAGAGGGAAAAAGAGGAGAAAGTCCAGGAGGAAAATACGGCTGAATGAAACAAAAGACAGATTAATGAATGGAGCAAAAGTAGTCCCAGAAATAAAATTTCTACTAATTATTTCGGTTTAAAATATTAATTGAGCAAAATGCTGGGAAAGAGAGACATTATAATGGTTGCAATTTAAAGTCAAAATATGTAGTTATAGTCTTTTGGCAACAAAGCAAAACTAGGATGGTCCCAACGACATCTCTTTGTAGCCCACGTTCAATCGAAGTTATGCTCTCCCTGTGTTTACCTAATCTAGAAGAAAATCTTATGATTGAGTTAAATATCATATTCCAGGTATAGGTAGCCCCTGTTAAATTTTGCTAATAAAGTAATAACAATAAACATCTTTGGAATGTGGAGATACGGTGTAATTATCCCTGTTTTGAAATATGTTGTGCACAGCCGGGTACGGTGGCTCAGGCCTGTAATCCCAGCACTTTGGGAGGCCGAGGCGGGCTAATCAACTGAGGTCAGGAGTTCGAGATTAGCCTGGCCAACATGACAAAACCCCGTCTCTACTAAAAATAGAAAAACATTAGCCAGGTGTGGTGATGGGCGCCTGTAATCCCAGCTACTTGGGAGGCTGAGAATTACTTGAACTTGGAAGGTGGAGGTTGCAGTGAGCTGATATAGTGCCACTGCATTCCAGCCTGGGTGACAGAAAGCCCATCTCAGAAAAAATATATATATATGTTGGCTGGGTGCGGTGGCTCACGCCTGTAATCCCAGCCCTCTGGGAGGCCGAGGTGGGCGGATCAGCTGAGGTCAGGAGTTCAAGACCAGCCTGGCCAACATGGAGAAACCCTGTATCTTAAAAAAGGAAAAAAAAAAATGTCATGCACTTCATACATTATTTTAATCACACACACAATTCCCTAATCCTGTTCAGTTATCCTTGGATCAAAACCAAATGTCCTTTCATTATGCTCAACAGCCCTCCTTTAACAACAACACGTCTTTTTTATCATCTAAAAACTGGTAATGCTCACTTCTGGATAATTGTTAAGGTTTAAATATCCCCTGGTATAACCAAAATATACCAGTAATATACATTATTTCAAGATAAACCATCCAGAAAGAAATTAGGGAGACCAAGAACTATGTCGCTGGAGTACCAGAAGAACTAAGAGTATACAGTGCCTGTATCTGAAAGAATATGTTGTTTTTCTTTCCGTCCTTCTCTAAATTTTTCCTTTTTTTTTTTTTTGAGTCGGAGTTTCGCTCATGTTACCCAGGCTGGAGTGCAATGGCGCAATCTCGGCTCACCGCAACCTCCGCCTCCTGGGTTCAGGCAATTCTCCTGCTTCAGCCTCCTGAGTAGCTGGGATTACAGGCACGNCCTGGGTTCAGGCAATTCTCCTGCTTCAGCCTCCTGAGTAGCTGGGATTACAGGCACGTGCCACCATGCCCAGCTAATTTTTTGTATTTTTAGTAGAGACGGGGTTTCACCATATTGATCAGGATGGTCTCGAGCTATCGACCTCGTGATCCACCCACCTCGGCCTCCCAAAGTGCTGGGATTACAGGCGTGAGCCACCACGCCCGGCCCTAAATTTTTCCTTTTTAAGAGAAGAATTGCTATTATTTGTCTTCTGTTTTCTCATTCCCCTTTCCCCCGATCTCCCTTTCTTGTCTCTTATTGTAGCAGCTTCTGTTTCCCTCTCATGTTGCTTCCATATTTTCTTCTAAATTCTGACTTTGTTGTGTCTTGGCTTAATCTACCAGACTTCCACTAAACTTTCAGAGCTGGAATCAGAACAGTGCATTTGGCAAAAAGTCAGCCACACATACCA